GCCCCTGCGAGCCCAGCGGGGCTCTGCCGGCCGGGGCCCGCCCGCTGGTCAGCGCCCTCATGTTCTCCGCCGGCCTCTTGGGCAACCTGCTGGCCCTGGGGCTACTGCTGCGCTGCCGGCGGGGGCCCCGCGCTCGCCCACCCTCCCTCTTCCACGTCCTGGTGCTGGCCCTGGTGGTCACCGACCTGCTGGGCACCTGCTCCGTCAGCCCCTTCGTCCTGGCTTCCTATCACCGCAACCGTACCCTGACCGCCTTGGCCCAAGGAGGACACATCTGCCTCTACTTCGGCTTCGCCATGAGCTTCTTCGGCCTCGCCACCATGCTCATCCTCTTCGCCATGGCGCTGGAGCGATGCCTGGCCCTGGGGCAACCTTACTTCTACGAGCGCTTTCTCAGCCCCCGCACGGGCTTGGTTGCCCTGCCCGCCATCTACACCTTCTCCGCGGCCTTCTGCTCCTTGCCGCTGGTGGGCTTCGGGCGGTACGTGCAGTACTGCCCCGGCACCTGGTGCTTCATCCAGATGCGCCTGGACTACCTCCAGCACAACGGCGGCAGGGAGGTGTCTCGGTTGGACCTCACCTTCTCGCTGCTCTACGCCACCCTGCTCCTCTTCCTCATCCTCTCCGTGCTGCTCTGCAACCTCAGCGTCATTGCCAACCTGGCCCGCATGCACCGCCGTGGGCAGAAGACCCGCCGGCTGGCCACGCTCCAGCAGCCCCAGGCGGCCGGCAGCTGCAGCCGGCGCATGTTCTCCATGGCCGAGGAGATCGACCATCTCCTTCTCCTCTCCATCATGACCATCACCTTCGTCATCTGCTCCCTGCCATTCACGGTGAGTGCGACCGCCTCTCCCCTGGGGTGAGGTCCCTCTCCCCAGCACCCCTGTTCCTCTCCCTCCCTTTATAAGGCTCCCCCCAACTCCGCTGCCCAGATCTCAAGGGCTGAGGTCAAAGCTTCGCTCCTCCTGAAGCTCAGGAGACCCCGAGTCCACCACAAACTCTAGGCAATTTGCACATCCCAGGGGGAACCAGGAGAATCGCCGCCGTATCCCAAGTGCTGGCAAGAGGATGGGGTGGCAGGAGGACGGGGTGGCAGGAGGACGGGGTGGCAGGAGGATGGGGTGGCAGGAGGACGGGGTGGCAGGAGGACGGGGTGGCAGGAGGATGGGGTGGCAGGAGGACGGGGTGGCAGTAAAGGATGGGGTGGCAGGAGGACGGGGTAGCAGGAGCAGAGGTGCCGTCCCATCCCGCAGAGGCTCCGAGGCCAGGCAGCACGGCCCAGGCAGGGTCCAGGGTAGGGTTCCCCTGGACTACACGGCGTTACTGCGGTTCCCGGGAGCCAGGCACTCATGGTGGAGGTGTGAGGGGTGACAGAGCAATATGTTGGACATCCAAAGATGGGGATGAAGGAGATGCTGCTGGGCTGGAGACAGTGGGTGTGCTGGGTGGGCAGAGTTATCCCAGATTTGGCGAGAGGGAAGGATGGAGCTGGAGATGCGGGCGGGCAGCACCGACCTCACCGTTAGACGGAGGTCTCCACTCCTCCACGACAACACCGGGGCACGGGCACGGAGATGGGCGATTGCTGGGAGCGGAGATCAGGCGCATGGGCCACAGGAGGCTTCCTCCCAAGGGTTGTGCCCACATCCCATGCCCCGTCTGTGCACGAGGCTTCCAGCAGAAAGACAGGGTCGAAACACCGCAGCCAAGCGAGGAAGGGGAGAGAGGGAGTCCCCTGCCTCTGCCCCGTGCTCTCCCCACCAAAAAGGTGCTTCTCATCCATCCAAGCCGTATTACACCAGCAGCACTGCAGACTCCGGAGCACCTCAAGCTACTCATCTCCCCTGCCTGTGTGTCTGAGCCCGCCACAGCGGGAACTCATTTTATTCCCATTAGAAGCCCCACCAAGGTTGGGAGTGCAGCCAGCGCTAATTTTGTGCTCACAGAGTTAAATAGACGCTACCTTCCCTTCATTCTCCCTTTCTTTTCCCAAGGGAAAAGAAAATAACCACAGACTGTAGCCGAGCCAGGCTGCCTGGGCTTTAAGACAGCAAAAAGACAAAGCAGTAACGTCCAGGCGCTTGTGAGCATCCTGGGAGCCAGACTCAACATCCTGAGATGCTTCAGCTGCCGTCAATGGGCCCACGCATGACGGGCGGCTCTCCCCGGGTCCCGAAAAAGCCCGGGTTTGGGTGCTGTGGTCATTACGAAGCGGGACCCCTTGGTGGGGATGTGTGGGCAGGGCCCTATGGGTCTGCTGGGGGCAGACGGGATGGGAGAGTGCCGCTGATGGGGATCCCATGGCCCCTGCAGTAGCAGATACGGTGTTATCCAGAAGCGCAGCCGGCTTTTCTTTTCCCATCGCCTGGCTCCCATGTGGGGTTGCCTTTGGGCTGCGTTTTGGCAGCGTCTCAAACCGAGCGGTCGAGCTGCCAGTGCCTCCTTGGTGTGACACTTTCTCTTTTGGCTGGGGCTGCCCCCAGCAGCCACCCTCTGAGGAGCAGCCCTGGCAGACGAACCCAGAGAGCATCAGGCCACAGCACCACAAAATCCTTCCCCCAGAAAAGCCTCAAGCCCAGGGCAGCCCTCGGAAGCGCTGCGCTCTCGGCAGCCCCGGGTACCGGCTGCGCCGTGGCCACCTCGTGCCCCGGGATGCAGCAGCCCTGGGTGGTACCCGACAGATCCCGGCCAGAGGAGGGATGCTCATGCCTCCCGCGCCCCCAGGTCCCATCCCCATCCGAGCATCCCCTCTCCCCCGAAGCGAGGGGGTGGCGAATCAACCCGTATGAGTAAGGAGTGCTGAGTCACCCTTCCAGGAAGCCCCGTAAGCTGCTATGAGTCGGCACATTGCAGGAAGGACTGGAGTGGTCCAGCACCCTGCATCCTCTCCATCTTGCACGTTTATTTGTCCCGCATGGTTTTTAAGGTCTCACCACTTCCTTGAGCAGCCGCTGGCTTAATTGCGCTAGGGCTAAACGAAGCCTCACTGTGTGCTGAGAGCAGAGCCCAGGTCTGGCTTTCCTTAGCGAGAACTTTGTTTAAACTGGTGGAGGCAGAAAGTGTGCTGTGACAGCCCAGATCTCCCCGAGAAGCTGCCCAGGGGCCGGCTCCTGGAAGCCCAGACCTGGCATTATTTCTTCCCGTTGTGTTTTGCAGATCCGTGCCTACGTGAACAAGTTCAGCAAGGAAGAGGACAACCAAGACTGGGACCTCCTAGCCCTGAGGTTTCTCTCTATTAATTCCATCGTCGACCCTTGGGTCTTCGCCATCCTGAGGCCACCGGTCCTGCGGTTCATGCGCTCCCTGCTGTGCTGCCAGGTGACCCCCATGAGCCAGGACAGACGGACTCCGTCCCCCACAAAGACAAAACTGGCAGCACGGCTGGACCCCTGTGGGCAATAGATCCATTGGCCTTTCCAGGAGACATCTGCCAGGCTGGGGTGAAGCGCAGCCCTGGCAGATGTTAATGACGCTCTGCCTTATGGCCCATAAAGAGACGTATCTGCTGCAGGGTGGGCCAGGTACGGGTGGCCCGGCCGGGTGTCACCGCGTGTCTGGGAAGCCCCTGGAAAGCCAGTGTGGTCTCTCACAGGGCAAAAAATACAGTGGGACAGGATTGGAAGGGCTGATGAGTACCTGGATATCGCTGTTGCCCTTAGACGGGGCTTTTCCCACTCGGCAAAGGGTGCAGGCTGCGTTCGGCCACGCTGCGGGAGGGTCGGGGGGCGAAGCGTGGGGGGCTTTGCTGTAACACTGCTGCTGTGCGGGCAGCGTTGGGGAGCAGAGCTTCCCGCTGCCGTGCTTCCCAGCAAGGTCCAAGCGGTCGTTTCGGGCTGAAGGCAGTGTGCAGGCAGGGGTACGGGTCCTGGAGATGGGGCTGGGTGGCCACCGTCGCTGCAAGCACCCATCTCTCCCTCCAGGTCCCTAGGGATCGGGTAGGAGAAGGGAGCAGTGTATCCCCAAATATTCCCCTTTATTTGGTCGGCTGGTTGCCTAAAGAAATGCACTTTATCAGGTGTAGGTCTGTGTGCATGTGTCTGTCTGTCCGCCCCCGCCCCCAGGGGTTTTGGGCTCCGGTGGGTGCCAGCCCCATGGGTCTGAGGGGCACCGGGGCAGAAAAAAGCCAAATTGTTGCACTTCCCTTGTGCTGCGATGGCCGGGGGAGCTGTGCGGCCCCTCCTGAGCACCCATTTTGCAATTTTCTTTGCCCCATAGCTTGTGCAGGAGCCAACAAAGGGAAAAAAGAGCCTGACCAGGGAATGGGAGGTTTTGGTCGCAGCCATGCGCTTTACCCGCGTCCAGGGCGATGCTGCTGCTGGGTTTTGGATTGGCACGGAGGAGGGCTCGTCCTCCCGGGCTGCCTGACCAAGAGCCTTTGCTCATCCTCCTGCCAGCCTGGGACAAACCTGCTCAGGGGCATCGCTTCTCTAGAGGTTTTATTTGAAAAAAAAAAAAAATCCCAAAAGAACAACAAAACCAAAAAAGCCAAGTGCAGAAACATCCAGGCCATCAATCCTGCCCTGTCGTGCGGCATCCTTCAGCCCCGATATTTTGTTTTGTGGGATGCGCCTGTTGCTCCTGGGGCTCCGGGCTGGTCCCCACCGGGGTAAGAAGCATCCGACCCCGTGGGTGAGCTGGGTTTGTCCCGAGGCCATCGCTGCCGTTAGGGCTTGCTTGGGAGCTCATGGCTCCCGTTCATGCAAACAAACACCGTGTCCTTGCGCTATTGCAAGTGGGGCATCTCGTTTTCCGTTTGAGAGCTGCAGCTCTGCTCAGAAAGCCCAAAGGTGCCGGGATTTGGAGCTTTTCTGCCGTTCGTTGGTTGAGGTGATGTAAAAAAAAAAATATTATTTAAATAATAAATGTCTCTCAAAGGAGCCTGCTGAATCGTGTGTGGGTTTGCGTTGAAGATGCACCTCAGGGCAGATCTGGCTCCTGGAGGAAAAGTATCGCCTGCCTGGAGCATTGGTGGGATGAAGCCTTGGGAATGGGGGGAGAGGGCAGGTGGGGAGGCTGAGAGGGGAAATGTGTGCTTACAATTTCCTAAAAAGTGAAAATAAACCGTGTTTTATAGATAATGTGATGACATTTTTGCCTTACCTCTGCAACCTGGCCCCCTGAGCTATGAAATACCTCCACCTCTGAGCTCGTCCCTAAAACTTGTATATCCCGAAGCCAGGGAGAGGCAGGCCAAGCTCCTACCTGTTATCAAAATAATAATAAAAAAAAAAATCCAGACTAAAAAAAGGCACAATTTATGTCACTTTTGTCAGGCAGCCAATATCCACAGGAAGTTTACTGGCCTCCGAAATGCGTGTGGGCAGATGTCAGGCATGGGCTGCTATTGCGCAAGCTCCGCCGGCGGGTTTCTGGCAGCACCCTGCAGCTGGGGGGTTCGGGGAGGGGATTTCGGGGGGGGTGGGGTGGGTGCGAGATGTGCCTTGCCCATGGGGCTGCAGCTGGGGCGCTCCCCACGCTGGCACATAGCTCATGCGATTAAGTCATTAACCCTGTCGCTGAGCCCTGGATCTCCAGATTTGGCAGACTCCCACGTGCCACTGGGCGGTCACGGTCTCCCCTCCCCAATTATTTCCCCCAGCCGTGCACGCAGCAGCAGCAAAGGCACTTTCTGGGTTCAGGGCTTGTGCACCCCGTTGTGTCTCGGTGGGTGCTTGGCTTGCAAAGGAGCCAAAAGCTTCAGGAAGAGCTGTGGGTCGTGTGCTTTATTTATCTGGATGGTTGTGACCTGGTTGCTCACGCTGGAATTTCAGGACCAGTTGCCTAATCCTCTTCTAAGCCAGAGGGAAAGGCTGCCTGGCATGCAAAAGATGGAAAGAAAAGAAAAAAAAAAAACATCCCATTGGAAATGGCAGGGGGGGTCACATCCCGCAGAGAACAGCCCGCCGAGGCACATGACAGCAGTGGGAAGAGGACCCAGGGCCATCCATGGCAGCACAGGGGATGACCCGAAGGCGGGATGCTCCTGGTGGCTCTCACTCCGAGGATCCGCTCCCGCTGGCTGCCAGCTCGGCTGCTGACCACTAATTGCCGGCTGCTTGTTTTTTTGGGAGGTTTATGGCTCCTCATCAGGAAACGTGGGGCTGGGAGACAACATCCATCCCCCGGGGATCTGCTTTTCGCAGGGTAATGCTGTGGCAGAGTCACTCGCGTGCGAGCCGTCGCCAGTAAGGGCCAGCAATCCTGGCAAGTGGGGTCAGGGAAATGTTTTGGCTGAAATTTAATATAAAAATAAAAAAGAGATATTGGTTGTGAGCCTGGGAGAGGCTTGGTGCATGCAAGGAGAGAAACCTCCCGAGACCTGAGTCCCGTGATGCATCCTGCAGAGACGGGTCCCTCGCCTGGAGATGCTGTGGGACACCGCTCGGCTTGGGGACCGCCCTACACCCCGCTCCTCGGGGAGGGATGCGGCCTCA